AGCAAAGTGTTTTTTTCCTATAATAAATAAAAAGAAAACAAATAGATAGGATAGGAAAAAATAAAGTACACTAAAGTTATAGGGTCATTTTTTATTTATAAAAAGAATACGAGTAGATGGAATATGTACGTGTGTGTGTTTACATACAAACAATTAGACCTATTTATCAGGGCCTTTATTCATTAATTAATTTTTTTGATTTTATTTTAACTAAGCACTTGAGCACCTAGAAATTATTTTCCAACGTTCTCAATACCATGTTCTCACTAGCATCCAGATGTTTTACTTGTACTTTATTATAATTATTATGATTTTTATTACTATTATTACTATTATTTTGTAATCCCCATTATTCTCAATGTTGATTCTCATTAGATTATTGTATTTAAACTCATTACAGTAAAAAAAAAAAAAAAAATTGCCTTGTTTTGATTGGAAAAAATGTAATTTTATGTTATTCATGCAGAACAAGGTGTTTTGGGATGGAGGGTATAGGGAGTATAAACGTAATTTGTCAACACAAGACCACCAAAGAGTTTTTTTTTTTCATTTAATTAGATGTTTATTAGCCTAGAAATCCACATAAACATTTTTCTCGGTTGATTATGTGCTTGACTACAGTGACACAAGCACAGACGCTCAGGGACCAGAGGACCACAGAGAATAAACATAAGCCTAAACGTTCTTCCAAAAGCAGAAATAAAGTTCAATTTAGCCTTTATGTTTTTCGAGATATTCACCCACCATTTAGTTAGCAATGGAAAAAGGCTCACATCAGAGGTATCATAGATTGACAAACTGAGGAAAAAGAAAGGTTAAGACCCAGACAGGAAGTATAAGAAAAAGATATCCCAGGCAGAGCGATCAGTACAGACTGTACTATGTGTCATGGAGTTGTACTGGCCACTTTCGAGAGCTCAGTCTGAATGAGAGGTGAGAAGGTGAATCAGGTGGAGGGGTTTAAAAGTGCTACTGTGTGTGTATGTGTGTATAAAACCAGAGAAAATGTGCCTATGTTCTATTAATAATACTTGTCCTAAATATGTCTGCTTCCAGACAGCCAGCTTCCCATACAACAGCCACTACTCTCTTTTCCACCTTACTTCTCCTCGCATATTCATTCTCTCTCGTTTTTTCTCACTCATAATTTATGTGCTCCTGTCTCATGTTTATCCTGCATTTAAATTTCACACAGAGGAGAGGCGGCAGCAGTGTGCCAGTCAATAGAAGTGCTAACACTTAACGACCCCTGCCGAAGCAAACAAAAACAGATCGTTGGTTCTTCAAACAGCTCCTTAGAGATCCACCTTGCTGGAATGCTTGTCATTGTCCTACAAAGCGTAGGAAGGAAGCCAAGGACAATTTGTAGCAGCGTCTCTTAAGAGTGTGCTGTACTGGAGATGGTGGCTCAGTAATGTCCTCTATTGTGTAGTAAAACGTGTTTTAACAGACTTAAATTCTTACATTCAGAGTCTACAGCTTTGCCACACCTGCTATTAACAGGTGAATTAATAAATATTTTTTAAATGTCTCTTACTGGCCATGATTTGTTTTTTAAAGGGGACCTATTATGCCCCTTTTCACAAGATGTAAAATAAGTATCTGATGTCCCCAGAAGTGTGTATGTGAAGTTTTAACTCAAAATACCTTACAGATAATATTTTATAGCTTGTTAAAATTGCCACTTTTAGGGTATGAGCCAAAACTTGCCATTTTCGTGTCTTTCCCTTTAAATGCAAATGAGTTGGTGCTCTGGGGGAAGAGGGCGGAGCTTCAAGAGCTCAAGCTCCGGCAATAGGTTGTTTGCACATGACGTCACTGATGACGTGCGAAATGCAGCTGGAGAGCAGGAAGTGATTTTTCTCCATAGGAATCACTTGCGCCCTGTAACTTACATGCAGCAAAGTTTAAGGAGTGACGAAAAAAGAAGAATGGATGAGATGGCGGAAAGTCCGTACTGTACTTTTTTTTTTGGCATGAGGCATTTTTGAGGCATTTTTTTTATATAGAGCTTTCATTGTATTGCTGTACACCCAACGCGCTTTACAATCATATGAGGGGATCTCTCTTCAACCACCACGCCTTTCCCTTTAAATGCAAATGAGTTGGTGCTCTGGTGGAAGAGGGCGGAGCTTCAAGAGCTCAAGCTCCGGCAATAGGTTGTTTGCACATGACGTCACTGATGACGTGCGAAATGCAGCTGGAGAGCAGGAAGTGATTTTTCTCCATAGGAATCACTTGCAAAAACTCAAAATGGCTGTGTTTTGCGTTGTTTATGGATGCTCAAATGCATTTAGCATTCAGTGAATTCTGACTGTGTCACCCCTGTATCTATTTATATATATTTTCATTTATATATAATCATTTGCACATACGAGCATTATCCGGCTCTGCTCCTCCCGACCGCAGACACAGGTTTACAGGTTTACCTATACCGGTGCTAGCCTTTGCAAATAAACACTCCAATATTAGTACAAGCCTGTTATCTTTACAGAAAGCGCACTCGGTTTAAAAGTCATTCATCTGATTGTACGGTGCATAAAAAATGCAATTTATGAATTACACAGACGGGAGCACGGCGCGATAAAAAATAACTCATGGTGCCATCGCATGCTATTACAAACTTTATAAGCCCCACTTGTGATTATGAGCTCGACTAATTCTAGCGGTCGACTTCACATTGCTTTCTTATGCAATTTTAACTCCCACATTAACCATTTAGTTTTTTAACTCCATATATTTCATCATATAATAATTGCTGTTAATAGTGTTCATCGTCTGTTTGATTACGTCTTTAATTGATTCTTCCATACATTTCTGCCATATGTACATAAACTGACAGTCACCACTGATAAGCTACTACTAAATATTGTAGAAACTTAATTTTCTGTAAAGTTGCTTTGCAACGATTTGTATCGTAAAAAGCGCTATACAAATAAACTTGAATTGAACATTCTTTACGATCATTCTGGTAGCACGTGAAGGCAGCATCAGTGAAAACAGACAGACAATGGTAGCTTTAGCAACATTAGCCTTACAGAGAGCCAAGAAGCTCTTTCAGAAAGGCAATTTGGAAAACTTAACGCATAATACTTACTTCTTCTGGAGATGTAGCTGGATCACGAACAGTTGGCACTGCTCCATCCTTCAGAAGCAACTTTTGTGCAAAACCTGCTTTATACTGACCCTCATTCACAAAGCAGTCCGGTGTAAAATGATTCGCGCAGACATAAACGAATTTCGGTGGAGTTGAGGGAGCATTTTCTTCGAAAACAAAATGAATCCACCTTGCCTTCAGCGGCTCAGATTTCGGGAGTAAATGGAGAGAGCTATGTGGATTCATACATCCAGCTACAGAACACCTAAAACGCTTGGGAGACATTCTCGTCAGTGCAGCAATGGCGGACTGTGTTCAACTCGCTGTGAACTTGCTCAGGGCGATTCTATGTTAAAACGGCAGTGTCTGTCAACTTTCGTGGGCGGGACCTGTGGCTAATGTGACATCACATTAGCACCAATTCTGAAAATAGGTAGTTGGGAGACACTGCTTATGATTTATGGGGATTTTTTTTTAAAAAGGAGTGGGTGGATTTTTATCATTATAGGGTGGTTGTGTACACACACTGCCAACACACATTTATGTCCAAACAACATGTGAAAGTGAATTTTGCATAATAGGTCCCCTTTAAGAATGCAGGTTAGAATGGGAATTTTGAGTCACTTGCTCTATTGGGTTACCGCTGTATCTCATGTTTTTGGATCATATATGTGCATTTCATTTTTATGCTGATTTAAACTATTTTTATGACACTTGGCTGTGAATTCTGTAAACTGTTTAAAATTGTCTGCTACTGCTAGGCACATTTTTTTTATCTTGCTAAAATTGACACAAGCTTTGTTGAAGTTGGTAGAGTTAGTAAGAATTAGTTTAAAATGACAAGGTAATCAGTAAAAATCTGTTTTACTGTATGCCATGATTTTACAGCACACATTTATTAATTTATTGGTTTTCAAGTTTTTTATATAATTAACATTTTTTAATTCTGAATTTTCTACTTAGTTTAATAATGCATGAAACAATTTGTGCAAAAAAAGTTTATTACATTTTTTATTTTAATAAAAATATTAAATAAATCAAAAAACTATATAAAAGTATACATTTAAAATTATATTTTTTGTGTTTTTTGTTTTGTTTTATTCTGTGTTTTGTTTGTTGTTTTGTTTTGTTTTGTTTTGCTTTGCTTTGGTTCCAGTAAAAATGTTGACAGGGCAAGTAGAAATCGTGAACTCTTATTGGTCCATAATCTTGCTCCACATAACTGTATATTAAACATCAAATATGTCTTGACTGTTATTATGTCACATTGTACCCCCTTTTTTCCAGTGTGAACAGATAAATTAGTTTTGATGGATTTTTGAGTAAGTGCCAGCTGAGTAAGTACCATTGAGATAAATCGAATACTAACATGCTGACAGAATATTTTTTTATAAATATAATTTTCATAATAAGTAATACATTTTTTATAGACATTGATGGTTGTAGCACTTATGTAGGTACAGTACAGAGGGACAAGTTTAGTCTCTTTCTCAAGAACACAATGGTGATGGCTCATGGATTACCACTGGTTTGAATCTGCATTTAAAATTTTCGATAACCAGCTTACCTACTTTTTCGTAGGACAGTGTGCATCCATAGCTATTAACCTTAACATGGTACTTGAATGTTTACCATCAGTGAATGCTTATGTTAGTCATTGTCCAGTGCTCTGTCGTCTCTGAAGGTTATTCTAGATGGTTTTCCAGACTGCACAGAGTGCATCAGTTTACGGCTAGCGGGAGCCCACTTAACTGGAGACATGGATGTCTGAGTGACATTTCCGCTTGAGAGTGATTGATCTGCCAACTGTGTGGAACCGTCATTTTATTTACGGCCTGATTGATCTGAATTGCAATAGTGTGGTGATCAAGGTCATTGATTGGTTGATTGTGTTGTTTGTCAGATTCACAGAGGCGGACACTCTGGTGATGGGAGATGTGACATACGGGGCCTGCTGCGTGGACGACTTCACTGCCCGCGCTTTGGGAGCTGACTTCATGGTGCATTATGGACACAGTTGTCTCAGTGAGTTGCAATTCTTATATGTGAATTAAAGTTACAGTTTACCCAAATTGAACATTCTGCCATCATTTGCTCACCCTCATGTAATTCCAAACCTGTATGACTTACATAGGTTTAATTCTTATTTTAAGATAGAATGGTTGCCTTGACACTAACTGAAATATATAAGTTTGAATACAAAAATTACTGAAACTAAACCTGAAATAAATATTAATTAAAGCTATGCATTAGCAAAACAACCAATGACAAAAGCACATAACAAAATTACTAAAACTTTAAAAGAAAATGGAACATATAAAAATAAAAGCTAATTCAAAATATGAATAAATAATAAAATAAAATTAATATGGGTATGAAAAAGGGTGGTGTGACATTCTCCTTTTGTGTTCCATAGAAGAAAGTAAGGCAAACAGGTTTGGATTCTTCATAGCTGGGTATTATAACTATTTCTTTTAACATATTTATAGACTACAAACCCACAAATTAATTTTCATAAAGGAAGACGTCTCATCTATCATCTTTCTATGATCCTGCGGTTTTTCATGAGCATGTTTCAGGGTCTTTCATTGACGGGCAACTGAATGTTTGAAAAAATAATTGAGAAAGAGACCAAGAGATCTCAGTGGGAGTTTCTAAGAGCAAAGGTTGGAGACAGTCGGCCAGGTTAAGGAGAAGTGAAGATGTATAGATTTACTCTTGAAATGCTTTGCAAAGCTGCTCTCAATAGCTCAGTATGGTAGCTAGTCTAAGCCGTCATGTGTAAAGGATAGCAGATTTTTTGAATGGGCCTGTCTGCACGTGTGCTCAGCAGATCAATAGTGAACATGCATTAAGGGTGTCCTTTAAAAGGCCTGGACGTGCCAGCCTAGAGGAAGCCGCTCTTTTACCCCCCGCTGCCTGTCAGCAGCACAACATACAGTAGAGGAAATGCTAAATCAATAGGGCCAATATATCTCCAGCAGAACAATCACACCTCTCCCAAATACCAGAGCTGGCCAAAGGAATATTAATCCCGCATCTGAGGGCCGAAGCCTCCTGCGAATCTTAACATTATACACTTATTCACAGTCAAAGGCAGACCTTCTGGACATGTTTGTTTGTCAGTGTTAGCTAAAAATTATAATAGCGTAACTGCTTTAATGCTGTGCATATTGTATGTAAATGTATATTTACCAAAAAGTGAGATACACCTGACAAAATTGCCCAAAACCTCCTTTTGGGGAAGTCCTCGTTTTTTTCTTTGGTTAGGAATTCCTTTACATTTCACTTCTTTTCGCTCTTCTTGGTTGTTTGGTTGTTTTATGTTTCTTTTCCTTGATATCCCTGAATCCAACAATATTCAAGTCTTTTAAAGGTTAACTTTAGCAAGAGTTCTGAAAGCAAGTGCAAAAGGCTTTTATTTTTTGTATGGTGACTTTTTTGGCAAGTGAAAAAACTGCTGATGAAGCAGCAAAAAAGTGAGTGTTCATTTTGTCACTGAAAATGTAGTCAGTGATTTATAGTACCTACAGATTGATTTATTGACATTTATAGACATTTTAGTCTATTTTTATATTTTGATGGATATTCACATCCTATCAGAGCGATGTTGAATAATTTATCACATTTGCTGTAACGCAAAATGACATTGAGGCTTAAAGTTTAAAGCCATGTATGTGAATGTGTGTACAGTTAGGTCCATAAATATTTGGACACAGGAACAAGTTTTATTATTTTAGCTGCTGACCAAAACATATTCAAGTTACAGTTGTATAATGAATACAGTGCCGTGAAAAGGTTTTTGCCCCCTTCCTGTTTTTTTTATTTTTTGCATATTTGTCACACTTAAAAGATTCAGATCATCAAACCAATTTTAATATTACGCAAAGATAATACAAGTAAATACAAAATGCAGTTAAACAGGAAGGGGGCAAAAACTTTTTCACACCACTGTATGTGCCTAAAGTGCACACTCTGATCTTTAATTTGAGGGTATTCACATCAAAATTGGAGGAAAGGTTAAGGAATTTCATCTTTTTAATATGAACCTCCCCCCTTTTTCAAGGGACCATAAGTAATTGGACAATTGACTCAAAAGCTGTTTCATGGACAGGTGTGGGCTATTCCTTTGTTATTACTACATCAGTTAAGCAGGTACAAGTTCTGGAGTTGATTTTAAGTGTGCCATTTGCATTTGGAAGCTGTTGCTCTGAACCCACATCATGTGGTCAAAGGATCTCTCCATGCAAGTGAAACAGACAATTGTTAGGCTTCAAAAACAAAACAAATCCATTAGAGAGATAGCAGAAACATTAGGAGTGACCAAATCAACAGTTAGGTACATTCTGAGAAAAATTAACACACTGGTGAGCTCAGCAACATAAAAAGGCCTGGACATCAGTCGTGGATGATCGGAGGATCCTCTCCATGGTAAAGAAAAACCCTTTCACAACATCCAGCCACGTGAAGAACGCTCTCCAGGAGTAGTGAGTAGGTGTGTGTAGGCGTGTCACTGTCAAAGTCTACAATCAAGAGAAGACTTCACAAGAGCAAATACAGAGGGTTCACCACAAGGTGCAAACAAGGCCAGATAAGACTTTGCCAAAAAACATCTAAAAAAGCCAGACCACTTCTGGAAAAGCATTCTTTGGACGGCTGAAATTATAGGGATATACTGTCTGCCCAGATTCAGTCAAATGCAGCAGTTGATTGGACGGCGGCACAGTGCTTCATAGTACAAGTGGAAAATGACCCAAAACATACAGCAAAAACAACCTAGGAGTTTTTGAAGGTAAAAAAGGAATATTCTGCAATGGCCAAGTCAAATCTCCTTATTTCAACCCGATTGAGCATACATTCCACTTGTTAAAGACAAATGGCAGAAAGACCCACAAACAAACAACAACTGAAGTCAGCTGCAGTAAAGGCCTGGCAAAGCATCACAAATGAGGAAACCCAGTCTCTGGTGATGTCCATGAGTTCCAGACTTAAGGCAGTCATTGCCTGCAAAGGATTCTTAACAAAATATCAAAAATTTACATTTTATTTATGATTATATTTATTTGCCCAATTACATTTAAGCCCCTGAAAATGGGGGGACTGTATAAAAATGGTTGTAATTCCTCAGCATTTTATGTTATATTTTTGTTCAACCCCTTGAATTAAAGCTTAAGCAGACAGTCTACTAATACTCTACTAACTGCTAGTTGACATGTAGTTGCAAGGTTACTTACGGTTAATAGAATGTCTAAAGTGGACTATCGAAATAAAGTGTTACCATATTTTTTAATAAAAATGAAATGTATCCCTGACTTCAGGAAGAGACATAGTATGGAGCATATGAAATACACTCCACACTACGGGCTGATCTGACTACAGAATCGCAATGACTGATTTGCAACTTTCCCTTAAATACTACCAGAACAAAAACAAAGAAATCTTTAAATCAGTTGTAAAAACAAGAACGATATCAAACATGAAAGGGAAACAACATATTCACAAGATATAGCACATGTGGCATATGGATATTCTTGCTTTGTGGGGAGAAGAGGAGAGAGTCAGAGGCAGGGAGGCGAGAGTGAAGGGGGAAGGGGGTCGTAAATGAACAAGGGGAGAGGTGTTGTTTGTTCTCTTTGGAGATATTTCCGCAAATCTGCGTCCAGGGCAGATCATACTTAAGTACCAATGAGCAGGGCAGGGGGCTCTCCATTAGGGATCTTCTGATTTCTGTCTGTCACTGGCTTAAAAATGTATGCATATAATGTTGTTTAAGTCTATATACCTAGACCAGGGGTGGTAAACTTGGCCCTTCCAGGTCACTTTCCTTCAGAGTTTAGCTCCAACTCTAATCAAACACACCTGAACCAGCTAATCATTGTCTTCAAGACTACTAGAAAGCTACAGGCAGGTGAGTTTTATCAGGGTTGGATCAAATCTCTGCAGGAAAGTGGCCTGGAAGGGCCAAGTTTGCCCATCACTGACCTAGACTGTACTATTATTTTGAATTTCATCCAATTATTGTTGTTTGTTTTGTTTTCTTTGGGTTTACCTAATCACTTAGTTATCATCTCATCAAGATTCAAAAGTAAATTAATATTTCTCACTTATGCCAAAGTATAGAAAAAATTGCATTGATATATCTTGTAACTAATTTGATTTTTGCTTCTTTGTATTTTGTCCATTTCAGTTGAAACAGTTATTGTTTTGGACAATTTAATCTCTGTATTTGGTTACACTGAATATTTTGCTGATACTCTTATTGATGAAGGGGGTGTTAGAACCAACAATTGTTGATTTTTTTGTAATGCAATTTATTTTATTGTTTCCAAAAACAGTGTAAGAGCTTTTCAGATCATCTTTTGTTCTCACCTTGACCATCTTTTTAAGTACATAGATTTAAGGACTTTTTGCCAGAGACAAATTCTATCTGACCACATCAAACCTCTGACCAATGACAAATGCCATGTATACTTTTGCTGTTTGTTGTGCCATATGCTCTTTTGAAATCACAGGATTCCTTCTGCATAAGTTCACATTCTGTGTACTGCCTCAGAAAGAGGGACAAGCGGATTCTACCATGTTCAGTGCCTGTTCTTGTGGAGGTGTGAAGTATTCAATGGACGTTTTGCATATCTATGAAGGGTGCAACACCATTCGATGAAGATCTCTCACACAGGGCTGAAAGGAGAACAAAGACTGACCAGCTGCCACTGCAACAAGTCTGGACCAGAAGTCTGAAGATGACATCTGCACACAACAGAAAGCATGTTTTCATGGAATATGTCACCTTTTGCCTCTTTAGGTGTGGCCAACGGTGCCAAGGGGGGACTTTGTAGGGTCAAAAATTATCAAAGACTTCTGCTTTCCTGTCCCAAACCTATCTTGCGTATCAAAAGGGCCATTTGGCATTCCTGAAGACACAGAGGTGCTGATAGTGATCAGGCCTGTAGGCCAACATGTGTATACATCGGGGGTCTGCTAATTGTCACACTCTTTTGCCCAGTGGGCAAAGCTGTAATCTGCTGATTGGTCAGTTTGAATGTCTCACATTTGGTTTTTAGTCACATGGTCAAGGAAGGGATAAAAGAAGATTGCAACTGTTGCTCTGGCCTCTTTCTCTTTGCTGCCTCTTTTGGCGCTTTTCCACTGCATGGAACGGCACAGTACGGTTCAGTACGGTTCACTTTTGGGGGGTTTTCCACTGGGTACAGTAAAACGAGCGTACCTTTTTTAACAACCAAAAAGTGGCTGTTTCGTGGTCTGTTGAAGAAGTACAGACGTTCCTCTCCTTGATAGCGGAGGAGCGGATCCAGCGAGAGCTTGATGGGGGTGAATGAAAATGTTTTTCAGGAGGCAGTAGAGGCGGCGCAACTATAACGACATGTGAATAATCCCACCCACTCTAAAGCGGTACTAAACTGTAGGGGAAACGCAAACCGAGCCGAGCCGTGCTGAGTCGTACCACGCAGTGGAAAAGCTCCATTTCTTTGCTGGCGCTCTCTTCTCGGGGCTCTACCCTCTCTCCTTCTTTTTTCTCCGTCTCTCCATGTCCCCCTCTCTCTTTCTGTCTCAGGTAATATTTTACATACATGTTGGGTACAATTAACTATATGTTTTACCATCCTTCATCTATTTTGTAACCAATTCAGTGTAACCATAACAAAATATTGTTATTAAACCATTTCAATTATAAATTATGTGCGAACTAGTCTTGATTCAAGGTTAATATTGAAGTGCTACCTATTGCAATACAATGTAGTCACTTAATAGCAACGCTCTCCCACATATTTAGCTATTCTAACTGCGCTTATTTCCGTCGTTGGTATAAGTGGCAGTGGGTGGTAATAGACTAGAAATGTACAGTTTTATACCATCGTGCTGACAACGTTTCTTTAGTCATTCGGCAATCCTGCAGCCTGAACCACTGTAGGGAAACCACCTTTACAGATGGAGACCGTGACTGAATTCATGACTTATTGACAACAGCTGTAATTGCAGTGAGTAAGTGCTCTCAGTCTGCCGTGCTAATTGGATAAGAGAAATGGATCGATTCCACTTAACTTCAACCCCCCGGCCCCTCCACGTCTTCTTTTGTTTTCTAGCACCTGCGGAAAGAGGTTATTGCCTCTTGTGTGTTTCATGCCTGTATGAAAATAGCCCTGTATGTATGTGCATTCTGACAGTGACCCACTTAAATGCAAAACTTTCAAGAATAAAACTTTTATTGCCACAGTCGGTAAAATCTCTCTCCCAGAAGTCTTTCTTTCTCTCCACTCAGTCATGTATATCAATTCCTCTAGTAACTAGCTGTAAACATTGTCTTTGACATCTATTCAGTAGCTCTGTTCTAAAACATTCCTCGTTGCTTATTGCCTATGAAGGCAGCTGCCTTCTAAGGGATCATCCTAAACGCCACGGAAACTTATTTGGAACACTCTACATAGGTAACAACTCGAAGAAGCAGATTGACATGCAGTTCAATCAAGCTGTGATGTTAGCATGTCGCTAAGCTAACAGCACAAAAGCATAATAATAACACATAGCACACAAACATGAACACATGCACATGAACTATTTTTAACAACACTTTTAAGTACTGAATGAAATATTACTTTATAATCAATATTTCTCTCACTTTGTCCATCTTTTCCTGAGATTTTCAAAAAACGTTTTTAAGCATGCTAAACCGTTTTGGTTAGCATTGGAAAAAAACACTGAGATATTTCCACTTCGTATATGTTCCACTGAAGAAAAAAGTCATACAGGTTTGGAACTACACTGAACAAAATTATAAACGCAACACTTTTGTTTTTGCCCCCATTTTTCATGAGCTGAACTCAAAGATCTAAGACTTTTTCTATGTACACAAAAGGCCTATTTCTCTCAAATAATGTTCACAAATCTGTCTAAATCTGTGTTAGTGAGCACTTCTCCTTTGCCAAGATAATCCATCCACCTCACAGGTGAGGCATATCAAGATGCTGATTAGACAACATGATTATTGCACAGGTGTGCCTTAAGCTGCCCACAATAAAAGGCCACTCTAAAATGTGAGCCTAAGGCACACCTGTGCAATAATAATGCTGTCTAATCAGCATCTTGATATGCCACACCTGTGAGGTGGATGGATTATCTCGGCAAAGGAGAAGTGCTCACTAACACAGATTTAGACAGATTTGTGAACAATATTTGAGAGAAATAGGCCTTTTGTGTACATAGAAAAAGTCTTAGATCTTTGAGTTCAGCTCATGAAAAATGGGGGCAAAAACAAAAGTTTTGCATTTATAATTTTGTTCAGTGTATATAAGAATGAGTCAATTTTGGTTAAATTACCCCTTTAAAATATGCAGTGCTTTCCAAAATATGTACTTTTTCATAGATGTCTCAGCAATGTGTGTTTGCTGAGAAGCCTCTGTTGATCTTCCTGCTTTGAGAGGTAGATTTACTTCCTCTCTTCCCACTTGCTTTACTGTCTTGCCATCTTTTCTTACATAGTTAGATGGGCTCCGTGTTTAAAACACTCCCTAAAGGTGGCATTTGCCTAATAGCAGTGAAATGGCCATTAGAGCAGGGGCTTTAAAGAGAATGCTACAAGAAGAGCAGCAATTATGACCATCAGCAGTAAATGATAATGTAGATGGGAGAAGACTGAAGCCCGCCTTCCTCTTTCAGCTCTGCTGTCTTTTAAATGGGGCGTGAAATGAATGGCATTAATAGCAATTGTACGATTTTCTCTTTTCTTCAGTTACTGTCATCAGTAGATCGGAGGTAGGCTGACTAACACAAACTTTTCTGAGTTTTCAAGACATTTATTTACTTTGTTGTGAGTTTGCAGTTTATGACAATTAACTATTATGTGCTAGTTTGTGCGGGTTGTGCTTATACTATATATATATACTATATACATGCATACTTGTACAGTAGAACAAAGGTTGAGAAATTTTTCAAGAAATGCAGTACTCTCACAGTGTGCGATTTCAGATGGATCTAAAAAGGAATGGTTTATAATAAAATGAAAAATCCAGGATCATTTACTCACTCAGTGGCATTCCAAACCTGAATTCTTTATTCTGTGAGCACAGTTGTTTGAAAAATTTCTTCTTTTTTTTGGACCCCATTGACTTTCGTTATATGGACAAGACAGTTGAAACATTCTTCAAAATATTTTCTGTTGTGATTCTAAGAATACAGTCATACAGGTTTGGAACAACATGAGAGTGAGTAGGCCTAAATGATGACAATTTTTGGGTGAAAGAAATTGTTGTGCCTATTTTTTCCGCCAGGTGATTCTGTTGGTGCGTTCAAGTAATGTCAGAAAGATAATATTTAACGTGTTGAACACAAACTAAAAACTCAAAATATGCAGTGAAGTGGCATCTGTATTACCCATAAATTTGTTTACAACAATGGATTTTTTTTGTTTACATTTTACATAAAACTAGCAAATCTGCATGTTCAAAATTTGTGCAATTACGAAATGATTCGGTTTACCATACCTTCATAAATTGAATGAATAACATTAAAAAAGCAAAAAACATACCTGATGCACATTCTTTATTAATCATTTTGTAGAAGTAGAGTTAAAAACACTTGCTGTATTTTTTTGTAGAAAAGATACATGCCATCTTGCTTGGACCAAAGTGATTTGAACGCATCTGGCATCCTAATTACGACTTCCAAAATCGTAAATGCAAACTTCACAGAAGGACTTGAGTGCACCATTTGATTTGTGGGATCATTTGAATCTGTAGCACAAACAATGAGTACGTTTACATGGACGTCAGTAATCTAATTATTTACCTTATTCTAAATAAGCCAATATTATGATTATGGTGTTTACATGAGTTGCTTTTAGAATATTCCTTTCATGTTCCCTCGCAAAATGCGCGAAAAGTCCAACACGACGCTAATAATGTGATTAAGGTGTTTACATGTCTATACTGCACTTCAGTAATGCTACTAAAATAGGAATACTCCACGTCTTAATTCGATTTCTGTTTACTTTGATTATGACTTTAGGTAGATTCTTAATCAGAGTATTGTCTTAATCGTGTTAAAATCGGAGTATTGTTGTCCATGTAAACGTACTCCATGTTGAACGCCAAATTTAGATTTTTCAGGTTAGAGAAAAAATAGGAAGTCAACCTACGAATGAAATAATCATTTGGATGTGTGAGGAGTGAAATATGCTAATGTTTGTGTCTTCAGTCCCAATAGACTCAACTGAGGGCATCAAGATGCTGTACGTGTTTGTGGACATCCAGATTGACACTGCCCACTTCTTGGACACACTCAGGTTCAACTTTCCCCCTGGCCACTCGCTCGCCCTCGTCAGCACCATCCAGTTTGTGGCTGCTTTACAGGTGACCTTTGACCCCCCGCTTCTTACTCAATGATAACTATTCCCTGCAGTTAAAGATGTTCTCTGATTCGTTTACTGTCTGTCTTTCTCTCTATCACTTACCTTCCTGCTTCAAGGTCTCTGACAGCACATAAGGCTGCCCGTGTGTGTGTGTTTGTTTGCTCCTATAATAGTGTGTTTGTGTATGTGGGTGTGAAATGCGGTTAAAGTTATTTTGAACTGCACAAGAGGAGGAATTATCAGAAGTCAAGTTGCACTCAGCACTCCACCTTACATAAGTGTGAGATTTTCTTCCCTTCTTTTTTTTCCTGTTTCGCTCTCTCCTCCTCGCTGTCGGTTTCACCCTCCTGCCTAAAAATGACCCATGCTATTTCTGGAAATAGCACGGCCTGTGTATCGTGTGTGTGTAGGCCCATTCCCGTGCTCTGGGTGGGTGCTGGGGGTCAGAGGGGTGTGAATGCACACGTTTTATGTGTTTTTGTTATTTTCTCTGCTCATCAGAAACAAAATCTTAACCGTAATGTCTCTGCCCCCGTTGCATTACTGTGGCTTTCTTGCCTTAATTTATTTGGCACCATTTCTTTGCTTCCTTTTCATTGGAAAGGAAAGCCTGTAGGTTTTGGGAGATGTGCTGTGGATGACTGTTTCTCTGATTGTATCTGTGTCTCTTTCCTTCCACTGAAAAGAGCCAGTGCTCGGCCAGATCTGCAAGCTTCTCTCAGAACCTGACTATATTACTACACAAACAAGCAGCCTTTGTTTACAAGTCTTGAGTTTAAGAACATATTTTAACATCAAGAGTAGTTTGATTCAGCAGTATTATGACATCAGGAGCGTTTGGGTATATAATGAATAAAATTCATAACAATCAGTTCACATAGTGTGAAAGCTAGCATTTAAAAGTTCATAGCGTTCACAAAGAATTTTATTTTTTTAAGAAGAGAAAGAAATTATAATTTTCAGCAAGTACACATTCAGTTAATCAGAAGTGACAATGAAGACAAATTTGTTACAAAATAAAAAAATATATATGTTTTAAGTAGATACTGCTCCTTTGAACTTTCTATTAAAAAAAAAAATACATCACATTTTCCATAAAAGTATGAAGCAGCAAAACTGTTTTCAGCATTGGAAATGTTTCTTCAGCACCAAATCAGCATTTGTGAATTATTACCAAATGATCATGTGACCTTGAAAACTGGAGTAATGGCTGCTGAAAAATCAGCTTTGTTTTCACTGGAATAAATTACATTTTAAAATATGTTCAAATAGAACACAGTTCTTTTAAACTGTAATACCGTATTGACCCGAATATAAGACGATGTTTTTTTCTTGGAAATACATCTGAAAAAACGCGGTCGTCTTATATTCAGGGTCTAGACTTTGACATGTCAATAATACACCCACAACAATACGTGGTGCCAAATACGCATAAAACGAGTGTGCCATGAAATACGTAATGTAATGCGTGTTGGAAAGATCGCCAGTAAAAACAAAAGAAAAAGAAAACATTACAGCTGCATGAGTCGTGACTGTCACGTTAACCTGATGGACAGTACCCAGATTTGAAGATTACAGTAAGATTTAACTTCTACTGTTCATAAGATTTTGGTAGGCTACTATTAGATGGATAGCCTAAATGTCCTAATTCAGATGGGCTACCTTTTTTTTTTTTTTTAATGGTATATCAAAAAGGGTATTTTTTTTAAATGTGATTGTTGGTACATTTTACCAGTTTTTACCATACTTTCAAAACAAAAATTGAAATAGGAAAAATATGCAAAATGAAAATAATTGAAGACAAAATGTGTTTTACTGAGAAAAAACAAGATTTGGTTTTTAAAAAGCCTTTTTCCAAAAGATACATCTGGAAAAAGGGGGGTCGTCTTATAATCAGGGTCGTCTTATATTCGGGCCAATACGGTAATATTTCTTAATATTACTGTTTTCACTGTGCTTCTGATTAAATAAATGCAGCCTTGGTGAGCATAAGAGACTTCTCTCAGAAATATTTAAAATCTCACGAACCCCATTTTTAATTGTAGTATGTATTATAATTACAGCAGCTCTGATATTCAGTACTATGCAGTACATTCAGCATCATTATGATATTGCTGTTATACAACAGTTAAAAAAGCAAGAAGTTAATGCTGAGTTCCTGAGTTTCAGACTAAATTTAGACATTTAAAATCGTCAGCGTAAATTGTTCCAAAAGAAGCCAACGTTAAGTCTGCCCTTTCATTAAAACTTTATTCGCTGCAAACATTAACCTGCCCTCAGACCTCTGACATTACCATTTCTTGGTTCAATACCCGCAGGTTTAGGGGGGTGACCTAGAGCCAAATCTTCCAGCCCAGAACCACCTTTTCAAGAAAGGTGAAAACTTGTGGCGTGGTTCCAGATTGGGCACTGGCTTCTGCACAACACCCTTTTGGTAGGAAAAAAGTTGCTTCCTTGGTCTCAGCATCCCTTTCCTTTCTCTTCTCAGGCAGCCAGTGCAGAGTTGAAGCCAGATTACGAGGTGTTGGTACCTCAGTGTCGGCCGCTTTCTCCTGGGGAGATCCTCGGATGCACCTCGCCTCGTCTGGAGAAACATGTCAATGCCATCATGTAAGGAAAACAGTTCTAGCCCATGTTGAGTATGTGTTGTCATGTAGTAAGACTGTGTTCGAATGAAAATAAGTCAGTGTGTGTGTATGTATGTATCAATTTGAAATGGATAGTTTCAGCCCTGGATTCAGATTAACCAATACAGCTTTATTTTATTTTATTTCTTTTTTTTACCTAATGAGAGCATGTTTTCTAGTTTTTATGTGTCAGGGATTCTATCTTCTTGTGGAAGAATTGCATGAATGATCAATTGCATTGAATGAATATACTTAAGGTTGTAATAAAAAAAATTGCATTTAAATATTATGTTACATTTTAAACCATTTAACGAAATTAATAAGGTGCTCAAGGTTATGCTTTATTGTGGATACAGTTACAGCTAAAAGCATTGCAGGCGTACACTGTGTGCACCCTGTATTCACAATAAAGCATGGCCTTTTATATACAGTATGAAATCAAAATTGACCCTGTTTACTTTAATACGTATCACTGGTTTTATTGTGCACAAATTTAATAGTGCATGTTATTCAAAAGAACAAGAAAAATACATACACTATCATCAAAATAATTTTCATTTTCTTTAAAACTACTACTCTGCTGATGTGATCAAGGCCTCATGTGTAGGAAAAATAATACTAACCAATAATATTATATGCTACTTTTCACAACCCAATCAAATTCTGATAACACCAAGACCCGCCTCACATTATTATCTGCGGAATATTGTATGTCTCTGAAATGTCACATTGCGTAAGTTAAATGCGTTGCGAATGCAGTTTCAAGCTGTCTTTAATGAGGAGCGTGTCAAGTGCTGTTGTAACACAGAGACGAGACATTAGGCAGCAGATATATGTGTGTGTGATCTATTATTCTCTGTATCACACAGCGGCTGTGAGCAGCAAGCTCTGCTCCTGTGAGATAGAGGGAAACCTCCTGTCTGTGTGTGTCTGTACACAGAGAGGGTGTGTGTGTGTTTGTGCTTTCTGCCTCTTAATCCAGGGTGCAGAATCTGTGATGAATGTTAGTCCGTGTGTGTGTGTGTGTGTGTGTGTGTGTGTTAGGTGAGAGAGGAAGAGAATTGATGCGTGTTTACTTTAATTTTCACTCATCACCTCTTCATCGGGGCGCCTGCCAACATTAGACATACACAAGTGGTCATGTCACTGACCCCCAAAATGACATGGCTATTATGCAAATAGCCTTTTTCATAGATCATTTACTTTTGCCCTCACCCTCAGCGATCAAATTAAAAACTTTCTCTGACACTTACGGTGTAGTAATGTGATGTTATATTGCAAAGCCGAATCACCACCATATAATTAACAGCAAATTAAGCTTATACAGAGCCTGACTTTCTCATAAGAAGTAATATGTTTGCCGGGGGTCTGAATAAAGTCCCACGGAGAAGATGATTGCAGCTTTGTGTTGAAAAATGACACAGGTTCATGGCCGATCGGCACCTTCATAAAGTCTCTTTTGAGTTGGGCGGACTGTAAAGCGCTCTGTATTTAATAAAATTTGACGAACGCCACAGGTCTTCATGCAGACCTCTGGTTTCCACTTGGGATTTCTTCTGAAGCAAGAGGGAGCTCCGACTCATTGCCGAAGACATAATGAACTGAACTGTGGGTGAATGGGTCGGTGCTGTGAAAAGCAGTTTTAAGAACTGCAAATTGGGCCATTTCTAATCTTATATTCTCAATAGTGCCATCTCCACGAAATGCATCAATTTGTGGTCGTTTAAGTTATACTGTTAAAAGCTGAGCCGGAAAACCTCTGAGCGTTTAATGCCTTTGCTATAAATGCAATATTTGTAATAGAGGCCCTTGAAAGAGACAGTGCAGTAATCCAGGAAAATTGGTGTGTTTTATTATGGCAACATATAAAGGAAAATGAAAAATTTGTGTGAAGGGGGACTTTTTTGGTGAATGACTGTGTCCAATAGCTAAAATAATTTTTTTAAAACATGCTTCCTTTGCGGGTAGTGCACTATAAGGAGGTAGAAAGGCATTTATTTTTGAAGGTATCCCGTAGTTCTGTGATTTTGTTTCCATGGTTGGTGGAAAGCATTAAAATGGTATCTGACAGAGCTATTGAACAAAGAAGTCAATTGTTTCACCTTTTTAATGTATGTTTCCATTTCTACCTTTTTCTAAATCAGTGTTTCTTAACCAGGGGGCAGGACCCACCATAGGAGGCCTCGGCACACTTCCGGGGGGCTAAAAATGGCTTAAATTAATTTTTTTTTTTTTTAAGTTCTTTCAACAAGTGTTATTTTGTCTTGGGAACCCTGTTTATTTGTACTGTATATAAGGGAATTTTAAAAGTGTGATTTCCAGACCAAAAAAAAAAGATGGAAATTTATATAATGATTATGGTTTTTCCAATTATATCAAGCTCTAAAACATTTATTGGGCAGAAATTTCTATTTGTTAAAAAAAAAAAAGGTCAATAAGACGATGTTGAGTTATATTTTAACACTGATCAATAAAATACATTAAAATTCTGTTCTGTTGAAAATAAAATAAAGCAAAAAAATTTATCAAGCATTTTAAATACTACAGGCAAATTAAGGCATTTTTAAAATATAAACAATAAAAAAATAATTTTCATTATGAGATTTGCAAAAGATTACATTTAACAGTGTCATTAAGTTTTTAGTGTTTTTGAAGATTAACTTGACAGCAAAGATTAGTAAAAACTGAAAATTTGCTTGAACAATGAAATTAAACCAATAATATGTTAACATTAGCTGATAACTGATATGGTACAAATATATTGTGCATCCCTACTTTTTTTCCCTTAGCGGGTACAAGGCAGCGAAACCGTTTTTCTTTATCTAACGCAGCCGGTATGTTTGAGGGACAAGAAGAATGAACAATAAAGAGCGTTTTTCTGTCGCTGTGTGTGTGTGAGAGTGAAGGATGGCTGGTTTAGCCTTTGCTCCGGTGGGCCCAGGGGGATCCCACCCACAATATGTTCCATAGTGTTTCATAAACGTGTCTTAATTAGCCTTTCTAATTGCGGCTGCGTTCCCCAGGGCATCCATCAGGTTTGCCAGGTTAATCTATACTCCCATTAACTATGGCAGGTCTTCTCCTGTTGACACGGCAGAGGATAATCAGCGTGTTGAGCTCTGCTTGCGTGCTGTCCGCGTCATGACCCAATCATATCACGCAGGTTTATTTGTGGAGTAGCTGGATTGTAGCCTATCAGTCTCCGTGTCTATGACTCGCTTTCCGTCTGACTAATGTTGCCGTGACTTTGGAGTGAGTAGGTCTCACCCTGATTGCTTGCTGAATGTTAGGACGGTTCTGATCTGGTTTATGAGTCCTCTAGGCCGAGACCCATTGGCCTTTATATTTTCTTATGCAAATCCCAGAGTTAGCAGAGTTTTATTCCTTCTGTCTTTTTCTCTGATAAAGTTGTTTCTGTCTGTAGTTATCTTGGAGACGGAAGATTTCATTTGGAATCCATCATGATTGCCAACCCAGATATACCGGCCTACAGGTAAACCAATGTGCAATTGTACACTTTTTTCCTAAATCAAGCATCTTTATTGCTATGGCTCATAGTCTTCAGCAATTTTATATTTGGTCTACAAATCCAGCAATATCCTCCAGGGTTGCAGAGGACAGCTCCTTCCTCTTTGCCCTTTTTTGTAAACTTAAACATGAAATAACATATAATAATATATATAACACCTGCCACAGTGAATGATTGAATTATAGGCGGGGAATAATGAGTGCAAGCTTTGTATGACAGCTTGTTCAAGATGCCCATAATTCTGCATGTTTCATTGCGTTATCAAAAATGAAACAATTAAAACGTGTTTTACACTTATTTTTAGACCAGACATCCTTTTGGCTGCTATTGTAATATAAATAAATAATAATTAAATAAATAATACTTATTGTTTTAATTTGAGAGAGACTATTATATTATATTATATTATATTATATTATATTCATTACTGATGTTGAATCAAATCCTTTTGTTGCATCTTAATTTGATTTAGTACTTTTTAATGTGGAGGGATAATGAAACATTTAGTTGAATTTCATCTTTTTACATTTAGCTTTAGTTACAATTAACTTAATACATTTTTGTTCTTTTCTTATTTTTATTTTAAACAAAAATTAATTACCCAGTGGACAAAAAATTGGAAACGAATCCCATGGAACGAGGCATCCAAGTTATGAATAGGGACCAAAATATCCGGCAACATCCTACTATCATATTTTCTTCAAAAAAAAAAAAAATCTAGTTTATGAATGTTCTTCTTTCTGTTTTCTTAGTATCTTATTGTTTGTAAATATGTTGTCCTCCATATTTGTAGGTATGACCCATACAGTAAAGTGTTTTCTCGAGAGTATTATGACCATGAGGCAATGCGGACCACCAGACTGCAGGCCATAGAGAGCGCCCGCTCAGCCCAGAGATGGGGCCTCATCCTAGGCACCCTTGGCCGTCAGGGCAACCCCAAAATCTTGGAGGTAAGACCGTCTGCTACCTTTTATCATACAATATGTTTTCTGTTAGTGGAAAGATGTCTGTCTTCCTTGCTCAGTTCTGTCTTACACCTGAGCTGAAAGACACACACACACCCTGCGGCATTTGGCCTGGAGGAGAGATCACCAGGGGCGTTAATCGATTGTTTTGGGAGGGGCGGGTCGTCTCCCTTCTTCTACTACTTCTTCTCATTCAAGTCCTTCTCTCTTTGTTCTCTGCCTCTTTTCATCTGTTCATTTGTATGTATTTGGATTGGACTTTGTTTTGGCAGATTTTTCCCCTTTTCTAGTTTCATCCTTTTTTAATTGATATGCATAGAGAAGACAAGTGTGATGAATTCA